ACCCACCGAAAATCAGCTGTGAGGCGCGCGCATGTACAGTGAGCTTGCGTGCCGGCACAAATGGCTCTGAGTGCTACCTGTGGCACACGTGCCATAGGTTCGCCATCACGGGCCTAGTGTCTGAATTACACTCACAAGACCACAGGGATGGTTGACGGTTAACTGAGCCACGGTGGCACAGTGGTTAGAGTGCAGTACTGCAGGCTACTTCTGCTGACTGCCGTCTGCCTGCAATTTGGCAGTTCGAATCCCACCAGGCTCATTGTGGGCTCAGCCTTCCATCCTTCCGAGGTGCATAAAGTGAGGACCCAGGTTATTGGGGGCAAGAGGCTGATTCTGTAAAACTGCTTAGAAAGGGGCTGCAAAGCCCTGTGAATCAATATATAAGTTTAAGTGCTTATTACTATTGCTATTAACTCCGGAGACAGATCACAAATCACTTTACGATTTAAATCACTTTATGAGTTTGAACCACACTGAAATGAACAGCTGTACCTGTGTCTCAACAGGGAGAAACCTGCAGGCGGGGGTCAGCTCAAGAACTGTCCCCTTGGCCTCAGCTCACCTGGATAAACGCCATAGCCAGAGAGCCAGTTTGGTCTAGCAGTTAAGACACCCGGCTAGAAAGCAGAAGATTGTGAGTTCAAATCCCACTCTAGCCGTGAAAGCCGAGTAAGTTTTGGGCCCATCCCCAGATGTTGAGTTGTAGTCCCCCACTTTAGGCATGAAAGGTGCCTGGTTGTCTTTGGGAGTTCTAGTCCCTGTCTAGTCGACAATTAAGCCAGCTGGGTGACTTTGCGCCAGTTGCTCTCTGTCAGGCCAACCCACCTCGAAGGGTTGTGGTTGTGCGGGGAAATAGGAAGAGGAAGGGATATTATGTGTTACAAAAGATACCCGGGGCTTCCAGAGGTCTTACTTGGTACATTTGCCCTCCAGCAGGAAGTATCCGTGTAGGCAGCTCTCGCACTTGTCTCCAAAGCTGTTGTTCTGACAGTTCACACACACCGCTGTATCCTCAGCAGGCCCTTCGGCCACCCAGGTGGGGATCTAACGAAAAGAAACAGATAGCCCATTCACGAGGAGGTATGATGAGCAGCAGATCAGTGATGGTATTCTACCGGTCTGGCCTGGTTCGGCAGAGCCGGTAGCGGCAATGAGCAGCGGAGACCAAACCAGTTCTCTCCACCGCTCTGCTGCTGGGCCCGCCCGCCGGCCCGGGATCCATACTCACCTTGGCTTCTGAAGCATAGCTGCTTTGTGCAGCACGATAGAGTGCCGTGGGGCAGCTGCTGAGGCGACCGGGAGAGTGCAAGCTTGCAGGAGGCGAGTCAAAACGCCTTCGTGTCTGTGCAAAGTGCACGTTTGGTGAGCGCACGCAAAGTGTGTGCACGCACGCCCACCAAGCCACGCCCACCGAACTGGTGGCACAACGTTCTGAAGCCCACCACTGCTACAGATCCATGATCAAAGGGGAGGCCTCATCTCAGCCAACCTCAGGCTGGACAGCAGGGGTGGTCAAAACTCAATTTCATTGAGGGCCACATCAGGGCTCTGACTGACCTCAGGGGGGGGGGCTGGGAGGGCATAGCCAACTGGGCGGGCATGGCTGGCTTGATTCCACTCACTGGATGTGGCTGACCAGGTGGGCGTGGCCAGCTTGACCCCAAACTGCTGGCATGTTTCCTATTGGCATTGGGTAGACCGGACCGAAGTGACGCGGGACGATCTCTTATATTTCCCAGGGTGGCCCTGCCGGCTGGGTCTGACCACATCGCAGGCCACATTCGGTCCGCGGGCCTTGAGTTTGACACCCCTGCTATAGAGCCATTCCACCCTTGGGCACCCCTTAAGACCAGATCTTCAAGGATTCCCTTTTTAAAAAGAATGCATTCCTCCAAACTATAAAGACGCACTTCGCATTCAAAAGAGCATGTATGAGGAGGAAGGGCGATGCCTCAAAGGACACCTGTTTTTCAGCAAAGGCGGTTTCTTTTCCACGTAAGCGGTAACGCAGGTGGCCAGTTTGTGTGATAGCAGTACATGATGATATCAGAAGATCTGAAAATGCTTGTTTGCACAATCAGTGAACACTGGTGCACCAGTTATGCGTGGTGAGGACAGGAGCCGAGAGATCACTGGAGGCTTTTAAGAAGAGACTGGACCACCATTTGTCTTGAAATGGTAGCGGGACTCTTTGCTTGAGAAGGGGGTTGGACTAGAAGACCTCCGAAATCCCTTCCAACTATTGTTATTCTGGAATGTTTTGGCACACTTTGGTGGTGAAATCAAGCCGGTTTATCCAAACGAAGCCAGATTCTGTATACAGATCGAGACAGTTATGTGTAAAGAGAGGATTATGGAAAGTCATACGATGTGCTAAATCCCCATTTAGCAACCGTGTGGCTTAGCAATCATTCCGTTACAACAATGGGGAAAAAGGAACTTTGCAGCCAATCCTCACATTTACGGCCATTTCACGCTGACTGGAGGAATTCTGCCAGTTGAAAAAAGCAACTCCCAGAATCCCCCAAAGGAAAGCGGATGGAAGAGCGCGGGCGGACTCGTGGTTCCACTTAGCCACTGCTTCCTCACAACCAAATTGCCAGTCTCAATAATGGTCGCTAAATGAGGCGTCAACCCTGAAGTGAACCTGGCTGGGGCCATCTTGGAGGTTTCAGGGTTTGCCCCACACAATGGTGGTGGTGGTGGGAACAACTAGATGGGGCTTTGTAGACAAGACAATAAAGCTTTCCTGTGGGAACCAAGGACATTCTCATAGGTGGCTGGCCAGAGGAGGAGCGAAGTAACCAAGCAACCAGACAGCACCTGGATTGGACAGCGGGACCAGTGACTTGTGGGAAAAGAAGAAACGTTTGCTTTTTGATCAGGTGAAAGCCGCGGGAACTTTCAGAGTCGGTTTTCACCCGTTTGCGCCAATAGGATGTATCCAATAAATTGTTCTTTGAGGAACTTGCCTGCCTTGGAGTTCTGCTTTCTATGGGCGCGTTACTTCGGAACGCTGACACGAGGACCGCTATGGAGGACCCCCTAATACCGGGGATGGTTCTTGTCACTCACCAAGGCCGGCTCCAGGGGGAAGCGGACCGGATCCTGCTGCGCTCGCTTGTATTCTTCCCGCGTGATGCACATGTTGCTGTTCCCTCGGCAGAAAACGTGGCAGGGCCGGCAGGAGCCGCCGTTCAGGGCCGACCCGACAAAGAGCGGCTGGCATTTTTCACAGTGTTGCCCCTGAGGGGAGGAGCAGACGGGGGGGGGGGGGGGGGGCAAGAGTTTTACACGACGATGGGCAGCACACGGGGTGAATTGGGGGGCTCTGTGGTGGGATTCCCAGGGGGGAAAGGGAGCATTCCAGAGGAAGAAGAGGCAACTGCTAAGAAGGGACTGTCCTCACCCTCTTTCTCTCACAGAGATATTATGTGTGAGAGAAAGAGGGTGAGGGCAGGCCCTCCTTAATAGTTCCCAAAGTCTATCCTAGATACAGATGGTAGAATCCTCAGACTGGCAAGAATTATGTCAGGCCCAAAACTGGTTGCTTTACCCAGGGGTGTCAAACTCAACCCCCGGCGGGCTGGATCCAGCCCGGGAGGTGCTTAGATCTGGCCTGGGGGGGCCTGCCCTGGAAATAGCGAAGGACCAGCCCACGGTGCCTCTGCCAGCAAAAACTAAGCTTGGGCAGGCCTTAACAACTACATCGATTCACTGTGGCAAGAACAGCCGTGAAATGGGTTCAAAATTCAACTTATCAACTGTGTCTTTTTGCAACACAAATGTTGGGCTCAACTCTGGTCATAAATTGAGGATAACCTGTACTGTATTAGGGAGGAGCTGTCTTCGCCCTCTTTCTCACGACGATATCCTCGCTGAGTTGCCTCTTAACTGAGCCGCAGTGGCGCAGTAGTTAGAGTGCAGTACCTCAGGCTACTTCTGCTGGCTGCCTGAAATTTGGCAGTTCAATTCTCACCAGGCTCAAGGTTGACTCGGCCTTCCATCCTTTCGAAGTCGGTCAAATGAGGACCCAGATTGCTGGGGACAATACGCTGGCTTCGTAAGCCACTTAAGGGAGGGATGTAAAGCACTGTGATGTGGTATATAATGGCTACTGCAATTGCTTTTCCTCTGGAAGGCTTCCCCCACTCCCCTCCTGCCAATCCGTCTCCTTCCTACCTTCCACTGGAGCCTCAGAGGGAAGAAAAGGGGCTGAGAACACAGAGCCGGCGTGCTGAAAATCCAGCCCAAAATACTTCCATGTGTCCCTCCGCTTTGCAGCCCTGCCCCACCCGTGGGCTTCTTCGCCCTCCTTACCATGGTGTTGTTGAAACACTGCAGGCACTGGTCTTGGGCTGACACACCCCGGCAATTGCTGTGTTTGTTGCACTGGCATTCCACCGAGCAATTCTGACCCACGTAGCCAAAATGGCACTGGCACGCATTGGGTTCCACGCAGGTCCCGTTCACACAGCCTTGCTCGCACACCGGTTTGCAGAGTCCTGTAATGCTACAAGGAGAAGGAGAAGAAACAGGCAGAGTCATGAAAGAGTCTTTGGGTACACGTGTGTAACTCTGTGCGGAAAGAGCAGGCCAGACAACACCAATTCTCCTTCGCCCTATCCCAGGGGTAGGCAACCCGCGGCTCCGGAGCCGCATGTGGCTCTTTCATCCCTCTCCTGCGGCTCTCTGTCGCCAATCAGCTCCACAATTGATAGGGCTTTCATTTAGGACAGGTAGAGGAAAAAGGATGGTGCGCTAGGAGAAGACTCTATGGTGGGAGAACTGGACTTCCTGTCAGCAGAGGAAAAAGGATGCTGTGCTAGGAGGAGACACTATGGTGAGGGGGAACTGGACTTCTGGTCAGCAGAGGAAAAAAGGACACCATGCTAGGAGGAGACTCTATGGTGAGGGAACCGGACTTCCGGTCCGTAGAGGATAAAGGACGCTGCGCTTGGAGGAGACTCTATGGTGAGGAACTGGACTTCTGGTCAGCTCCAGAATTGAATGGGGGGGAGGGGTCTAGTTAGGGCCTGTGTGGCGCGTTGAGTGTTTAAGGTTGCCAACCTCTGCCCTATCCCCATCAATCATTGTGACTGGGATCCGTACGGCTTAGTAGAGATTTGAGTTCCAACTTATATAGTCCTTGACTTACCCGAGTTTGTTTAGTGACCGTTTGAAGTTACAATGGCACTGGGGGAAAAAAAAGTGATCCTATGACTTGTTTTTCACACTTATGACCGTTGGGACATGTCATCAAAATGAAGTTGCATGGCAACTGACTCGTATTTGTGACCGTCGCAGCGTCCCAGGGACACATGATCCCCTTTTGCGAAGCAAAGCCAGACTCACCAAACAGCTCTGTTACTCACTTAACAGCTCCAGGGATTCACTTAACAACCGTGGCAAGGAAAGATGTAAAATGGGGGCAAAACTCACTTAATAAACATCTCATTTGGCAATGGCAATTTTGGCCCAATTGTGACCGTACATCTAGGACTACGGTAGTGTTCGTGCAATATTTCTCGATCTTTTTTTTAATTACTGATATTTTTTTAATTAATTACATTTCTTAGTGCTTCATAAACATCGTGTTGTCTGGGTATTTAATTTGCTTAATGATACTAATTATATCCTTAATATCTTTTTTCCAACCACTGGTAGAATAAATACCATATTGGATAGCATATTCTGCGTCTCCTTTCTGCTTGATTTTCAATGCCAACCTATCCATTTCTGCACAATGTTTCCTCAATCTTGACAACTACAAAATACATGAGCATTCCTGCCATCCAGCACTGCGTGTGTGCGCGCACACACACACACACTTGTGAGTAACCAGGTTTTAGTGGTTCAAGGACAGAGCTTTGTTTACTCCTTTACGCAATCTAGCGAAGGCCGAGGATCCAAAAGCAGCAACAGGTGGGGAAAATCAGCCCCCCAAATCGGCTGAATGCAGGTGTGTGCAGGTAAGGATTTTAAGCAGGTGTAATTTTTTTTTTTTTCAGGCTGCGGAATTGAGGTTCCTTTCCCCGTTGTTTAGAGGCCTCCCAGGAGAGCCAGACCCAAGCTAGAAATACAGCTGGGGGCGGGTGTGTGTGTGTGTCCTCCTTCATACTGACTTGTCCAGGGTGTAGCCGTTTTTGCAGGTGCATTTGTAGCTGTGGGGCAGGTCGCTGCAATTTTGGGTCTCGTTGCAGTCGTGGTGCCCATTCAGGCACTCATTCTCAGGGGGGCACGACATGAACGCCCAGTCTGCCTTTAGGCCGCACAACTCCACCAGTCCTGCAGAGCAGAGAGGAAAAGAGAAGAGGGGGAAATCTACACTGCAGGGATATATTTGTGAAGAAAATCCTCTCTTTTGGCCCAGGGTTTCTCAAATTTAGCTGCCGTAAGCTGGGTGGACTTCAACTCCCAGAATTCTCCGGCCAGCATGCTGGCAGCTCCCACCTACCCCCGCGAAGGCCCTGCGTATCTGTCCATCCCTTTACAAAGATGTCAAAACAATTATGCCCAGAAACGTGATCCTGGAAGCGGCTTCCACATATGAAGATATTTAAATATAGATTTTTTTTTCCCCCTCCTTTCTCACCCAGGGCTAACAAACCTCCTTTCTCCTTTTATTTTCCCCTCAACAACAGCCCTGTGAGGTGAGTTGGGCTGAGAGAGAGAGGGGCTGACTCAAAGTCACCCAGTCGGTTTTCATGGCTAAGGAACTCACCATCTGATTGGCCCAAAGTCAGGCAGCTAACTTTCCTGACTAAAACAGGACTAAAACTCACCGTCTCTTGGGGACTGGGCCAAAGTTACCCAGCTGATGTTTGTTTTTAAAAGCAGTACTAGAATTCACCATCACCTGGTGATGGGCCCACAGTGACCCAGCTGGCTTTTGTGCCCAAGGCAGTACTGGTGATTGGCCCAAAGTGACCCAGCTGGCTTTTGTGCTGAAAGAGGTACTAGAACTCACTATCACCTGGTGATTGGCTCAAAGTGACCCAGCTGGCTTTTCTGCTTAAAGCAGTACTAGAATTCACTATCACCTGATTGGCTCAGAATAACTCTTTGAGCCCAAAGTGGTACTGGTGTTTGGCCCAAAGCCATCCAGACAGCTTTCCTGACTAAGGGAGGACTAGAACTCACAGTCTCCCAGTTTTTAGCCTAGTTTCTAGCTATAACCGCTACAGCAAACTGGTTCTCTTTCTTGCCGCCTGCTTTCCGCTGCTCAGCGCCCCGCTTCAATACCCTCCTCAAAATGTGCCAGCCAAACCCCAGGGACCCACCATGGCGAGGTCCACTCCGTCCACCCTCCAGGCAGCGCCCTTTGCCGTTCTCTTCCCGGAAGCTGCACCAGCCACACCGAGGCTGCTGGATGCAGAGAGCACACTGCTGGAAACGGGAACAGGATGGCGCGCAACTCTCCGACCCGCTCAGCACCCGGCCACACATCCCGGCTGCGCAGCGCATCGGTAGGTAAGTTGGACTCATACACTGCAGAGAGAGGGGGAAAAAATACATCACAGTTAAAAAGTCTCCAAATCTGGCCATGGTAAGACTGATGGACTTCAACCCCCAGTGCCTTCGTTCCCTCCTCTCTCTCGTCTTCCTTCTTCCTGCTCTCCCTTTCCCTGCCCTGCCTTCTCCTTCCCCTCTTTTTCCTTCTGTCTTTCTTCTCCTTCCTTCCTTCC